AGAGAGAGAGAGAGAGAGAGAGAGAGAGAGAGAGAGAGAGAGAGAGAGAGAGAGAGAGAGAGAGAGAGAGAGAGAGAGAGAGAGAGAGAGAGAGAGAGAGAGAGAGAGAGAGAGAGAGAGAGAGAGAGAAAGAGAGAAAGAGAGAAAGAGAGCTGTGTTGCGACTCTGAGTTTCACATTAAGTCACGATTATCACTGTTTATCAGGCAACTGATGGCTCCAAAACAGGCAGCCTGAACATAAGAGGGATAGTGCCGAGGTTGCTTCACAGATAGAAAATTGACAAGGGCAGCGGTTAGAGAGGGGACGGGTCAACCGTACTCTATCCCCATGCGTAGGTTTATGATGCGTCTTTCAAAGTGGGATCAGACCAGCCCCACTACCCATGCTCTGAGAGCAATGTCCACAAATTATGCACAATGGGAGGTTTCCAGATGAATGAGTGTCTTAGATTGGATTCACTGTGTAAGTATGCTGTTTCTCATCGGGACTTTCTTGCTTGCCATTGTATGCTGTGGCTGCTTGTAGGTGTCTACAAGCCACGTGTGCGCTGCTATGACGTGAAGGAACTGTCGCAGAAGTTTGAGCGCTGTATGTCTTCAGAGGGTGAGTGTCGATCTCGCTTTGGACTTCTCCAACCGAGTGCGCTCGCAATCAGCACAATGCACCTCGCTCTGAATCTCTTTGCACTGGATTCTATCCTCCACTGTATGCCAAGAGTACATGGCCAATAGTGTACAATTCGATGATCACTCAGCCCACGGCAGTATTTTTACGACACTGATCTTTTGCGGCCATCCGGCTCACTGATGCATCATGCGTAGCCATAGATCAAAAGTGTAGAGAACTTGTAAAAGTAGTTAGTAATACAGTAGTCGAAGTAGAAAGGCGGGCGGTAGATCCACTCGTCCTGAACCTGGTGAACTGCCACTGTAACGTTACTCGTATGTTCATGGCTCTCGCGAAAGGCATACTGCAAGTCAACAAATATTCGGCACATATTTATTTTCGGCTATTTTCGGCCTGGCCAAGAAATGTGTTGCGTTCAGTGTTACAGCGTATACAGTCAGCAGTACAGGCTGAAAATGTAATGCGGCCGAAATGCGTTTTTACCCCTGGGCGGCCGAAATGCGTTTTTACCCCTGGGCGGCCGAACATTTGAATGGGCTGAACATTTGTAGACTTACAGTACATGCTTGTTCATACCTCTGCCACAACATGACTCAATACCCAATAGGGGGTTTCGATTACTTTTTGTTGGCGTCTTAGAGGCCCTGTACCAAAGTGACGCACGCGATCGCGACACTGAAGTTTGCCGAGGGGCAAAAAAAACCTGCAGCGTGCCGTGCCGCAGACAGGAGCTTGTCGGCATGTACTTTCAATTTCTTTGTCCAAGAATTATCGAGTTCCTTTCTCTGTTCCATTGACAGTTAGTGCTGATGATGACGAGTGGTGCTGCAGCTATTGCAGAGAACGAGTGTCCATGTTGACCTTCCGTTTCGCACGCCTCTCCTATGCATACCGTATTTTCCCCGAAAATAAGTCGCACCGTTTTACCCACAACATCAATAGTAAGAAAGGGGGTGCGACTTACAATTGAGCATGACTTACTACTGAAGTGAATCTATCAAAACAATACGGCTCAAACCTGAAAGTGTTGGTGCGACTTATAATTTGGCAATTACGGTACATGTCTGGTTCCAATTTCTGCTTTATAGGAGATTTCCTGTTTTCACCGTGATGATGGGGCCATGCCCGAAAATTTTGGCGAACACATTTTAGTGACGTATGCAGCAAAGAGACCATGTTGAGTGTTTGAGTTGAGGGACCCTGATGCGTAAACAGCTGCAATGGCATCTGCGAGTGCTTAGAAGCGTTTACGGGAGATTTCACGAAAGAAAATACCGTCGGAATGTAGGCTGGTGAAAGCTTGCCATCGCTTTTCTTCCCACCTACGAAGTGGGAAGAGCACAGCCGTAAACTGTTGCTGTGATTCCAGCCCTCTCTACGCACTGCACTCACAACTGTCTTCTCTCTGCATACCGTAAAGTCTTGTATAAAAGCCGCCGCTTCTATGACTTTCTGGGTGAAATTTTGCAGGCTTCTATATGAGACAGGCTTCTATACAAGACAGGTATTTCTATGTATGTCAACACTAAAACCAGGCTTATGTGTGATTTGATGGGCCCAAAATTGCGGCTTCTATTCAAGTGGGGCTTTTATACAAGACGTTACGGTATATTTTTTCCCGGAAATCTGTAACACGTTATCTGACTGTTCTTCTTGGAGCGGTTGGTAAAACCAACAGTGCAAGGACTCTTCGGCATCACCAATGATACTAACTACTCGTACAGTACGAACAAGCTGCTAAGGGGAGCACGGCGGCCTGCTCCGAACAAGCCTTATATAGTTATAGCGAAGTGCTAAATCTAATGAGTGAACAAGGAGAAAACATAAGGAGAAATCTGTCGTTAAAAACTTAAAATAGAAAACGTTATTAGTGTTGAAACGATCTCACCGGATACTCGTTAGCTCGCTCGCCAGAAACTCGGCTCGTTTGTGCGGCCAGCTCGTTTGCACTAACGAACACCGTACACCGTACTCCGTACACATGGCAGTACATGTCGACCGGGGAGTCGTAAAATATTTTACGACTCCCTGGTCGATCGAGAGTCCAGTCCCGCGCAAAGTGAAAATCACTCGCAGTTACAGTGACTGTATGCCTGCACGACACTTGAGTTGTTTCAGTTGTCGTTGCAGCTTTGGTGGACTCTACTGATGTCTTGTTCCGCATCTGCTGACCTGTCGCAGGATATGCTTCGGTCACCTCTCCATTCGAATGAAAGTAAAATAGTTACGCTCAGTCGTTTGGAAGTTTTCTCCCGCGATGCAGTGAAGACCAGGGCTACTTGCAATCTTTGCTAAACGGTCTATTCTTACAAAGACTACTCGACGACGGCGCTGAAAAAACACCTCGACACCAAACAGCAGTCCGAAGTGAAGCAGCAGCAACCCCAAATGCCGGCGGTGATAATTTGAACCAGCTGAAAAAATCGAACTTAGAAAAAAAAATATTCAAAAAATCATATTTCATTATTTGCCACATCAATGAAACTCGTTAGCTCGCTCGATAGCTTGCTCGTTAGTGGAAGTGATCGCTCGTTTGTTATAGATACGCTCGTTTCACACTAAACGTTATACAGAACTCGATTATGCTGTTGGTACTTAGTGAGCATTGAGAAGAGTGAGAATCATTGGTAGATTCAGTACCTTTCATACATGTAAAGTCGTAAACCGGTCAATTTTAGGAAATCGTTATTATTAGCGACTATGCTTTTTGCAGTACCTAACTAAAACTACATGAAGTTGATTTTGAAGACTAGACAAGGACGACTTGCCACTCAGACGCAAATCAGTCCTGCGGCATTAGGGGAAATCCCCATCTCGCGGACGGTGTAACTCATTCGAAAACCCTCTATGATAATATTATAATTATTACAGTTGTACATGTACATGTATATGAAACAACTCCACCGCGAGCTAGCCCATTGCAGTTCAAGATAGGAGTTGCACTCTGTTAGGTATGTACTCTTGAGTATACAGTAAAGTACCGTTCATCCGCTGACCCTTCCTCCTCCCCCCCCCCACGCGATGTTGCTTCCCAGCAGGGGGGGGGGGGATTAGATCATGGCTGTCAAGTGCAGTGCGCAATACAACAATGTGGTAGGTCAGACTTGGTGTGCTGGATTGTGCACATTGTCGTCCTGCACTGGCACGTATTGTGTACAGCAGTGCATGCGTCGGTTTAACACCGTACTTTATTGCATACGCCGAAGTCGCTTCACAGGCAGAAATTCGACCGGGGGCGGAAATTAGATAGGGGGGGGGGCGGGGGGGGGGGGGGGGGGGCGGGGGGGGGGGGGGGGGGGCGGGCGGATTAACGGTACTTTACGCTACATGTACTGATGTCCCTCTCTTTATAACTTCCACTTTGCCTGTACTGTGTATCGATTTATTCCAGTGGTGCAGTTTGAAATTCTCTCCGAAGACTACAGCAAGGTAAGATAAAGCAAGATGTGTCTTTCCTGTTGCCATGGTAACAGTTATGTCTTTCAAAAGAAGGATCCTCGAGCGAATTTCGAGCCCTGCAACCCTGTCTTTCCGGGGCAGTGGCTACCGATTAGGCTACCGGGATCACACACGCACCCATGGCTCCTTGCTACAGGATATCTTGCCTGTTGCCATGGTGTTATGCATGACAACAGGTGGCAAAGTGCTGGCTAGAGCTCGGATCCCCACTAAATTTGAAAATAATCTTGTGTGTCATGAATCATTATGGAGGTAAATTAAAATCAGATCCTTTTAACTCAGATTTGGCATGGTCTCATTGCCGTTGCTATGGCAACACCATGGTAACGTGCCATAGTAACACCATGGCAACGGAGCGGCAGCCAACTTTGTGTGTTTGTGCTAGGTTTGGGTACAGTAGTCAATGGTTGCAATTTGTAGGTTGTTGCGCCTTTACTTAGCAATGCAGTTTTTTTCTCCTTGCTCTACCGTGTCTTTTCGACTTTTGGGAATATTGCCACTGAACGAAGAATGGCATAAAGCCAATGCCTTCGATGGGCTACAATCAAGATCGTACTCACTAGGATCATTTCTATAGTACGTATCCCGTCTTTGTTCTCCAACAAAGACAACCGCATAAGCCACGAGGATGACATGTAGCATCCTCCCTTGAGCGGGAAGCACGCCAACACCTCAGCGTCCTTGGATGCAAGAGTGTTGGTGATTGATGACCGTTCTTCACTGGCCTTCTGGTCGGTGTGGAGGGGGAGGCTGCTTTATGAGTGGCTTTTTTTTATAATCTAAAAAAGAAAGTAAGTTCATTCACATTCAGGTGTTTTTGTGTTCTTGACTTCATTCATCCTTTGCAGATGGTGTTCCTGCAATGTGATCGTTATGTGGAGTTTCATACTAGGGTATGTACATGTATGTTCACACATTCCCCCATACTCTCCCAAAGGACTACAAATAATAATAGATGGATGTAATTGTTCAATTCTAATACTTAGTAAGTGAGATGACAAGACTGGAAGGAAAGGCCTACTACTGATGACACTCCTGTTGTGGACATTGAACTCCGTTGAGAAGTCAAGCGGCCCACAGAATTCCATGTTCCATTTCAGCGTGGTTGATGGTGTAGCTGTCCTTAGGGAGCTGACTGATTCTGAAACGCCTTTCGAACATTGCTCGAAGGTCCGGTTGTACATTCTGCCATGATTCTGGCGAGCGTGTGAATGTGCAGCTGACACTTCTCCAACGCAACAAGGCAGGCTTAGCAGTCGTCACGAAAATCACGTAGAGCGAAAACCCAACTGCGCGGAATTTTACGTATGAGGATCACGTGCAGTTCCTACATTATTTTCATGTGTATTACTACGTAGGGCGAAACCTCCCTAGTATTACGTGCTGCGTGTACAGTCGCAGTGTACTCTCACATACTGTAAGTCAACAAACATTCACTGCATATTTATTCCCGTAGCTATGCAGAAGACGTTACTTCAGTAACGTCTGGCGCTAGCCAGGGTCCACACAGCTTTAATTTGGTATTTGTTTGTGTGTTTGTGTCACGCCTGGCGCTATCCGTATCTGACGGCAAAAAAGCATAGGATGTTATAAATTTTTCAATTCTCCTATTTTTTTTTCAGGCATATCCTGGGATTCGAACCCGCACTATCGCCCTGCATGCATTCCCCCATACACTTCGCATTTATACCCATTCTTCCAAGTTGCTTCACGTTATTATCTTGCGTTTGAAAGCCCTATTTGAATATTGCGGGCAGCTAGACGGTGTCGTATTACCCTCGATCGTACCTGTCCCGTACCAAGAGTCCATAACCCCCCAGAGTGTGCAACTCGTGATCCTTCTCAGCACAAATCAGTGCCGCAACGAAATCCAAACTTCATACGTCATGTAGTGAGTAGCTATGACGAAATGGGAAGTTTGGCCCGGACCTACTTCGCCCGTTTGCCCAATTTGGGGTCTTTCTTTACGAATCCACGGCCACGTAACACGCCTGAAACTGAAAGGCTCAAGTACACAAAGAATTATTTTAGAGTTGTCGAACAGTTTTCTCTTTTGAGTGTCTCTCCGATAAGAGAAGAACAATGGCCACTGTTGAACCTAAAGCAAAGCGCTCCCCATTGTCGCCGGAGTGCAGTGTCTCTGTGGACGATATTCGTCAGTTTTTGCTCGATCTGGGCTCCTCATTTTTTTCTCTCGATTGTCGAGTGTTGGAAATTGTACCAAAATGGGACTGAGGAGCAGGTTGAAGCACATCTACTTCGAAATCGATCGGGTCTTCATGCCGTGTGCCAAGAGCTATTTCCATCAAATCTTGTTAATCTATATCCATGCCTATTCTTGCTATCCCGGAGTCACGAACTCTCCCAATACAAGCTTTTCAGACAACGAGCAGAGAAACTCTCTTCAAATAAAAAAATTCTGTGACTGTGAAATCAAAGCCGTTCTGCTGACACTGCATAGCCCGTGGAGCAAACGTTTTACGTGACACTTCCGTGGCTTGCTTCAACTTGGAACCCCCGCCGGATGTACCAGATATGCACATGGCCCCATCCGCCCATGCTTGCCCGGGGACCGGATGACGCAATGTTTGGATTTCGTTGCGCCAGACCCCAACCTGGAGTTGCACACTCTGGGGGGTTATGGACTCTTGCCCGTACCTATCCCCTACCATACCGTGCCATCAAAGACGGCTGGCCACAATGCATATTCAAATAGGGCTATAAAATGCAAGATCACAATGTAAAACAACTTGGAAGAATTAGTATGTATGCGAAGTGTATCGGGGATGCATGCAGGGCGCGCGATAGTGCGGGTTCGAATCCCAGGTTTTAAAAAAAGGATTTTTTAAAGAATTTATAACATCCCTATGCTTTTTTTGTCTAGGTCATCAAGGCAAAAAAGCATAGCGTAGGGCCCTGAGCTTCCAAGCTCTCTCGTTTTCAGCTATTTTCGGCCTAGTCATGTTTGGCCGAAAAATTTGCTGCAGCTGAAATTTTGTTTTGCAAGGTTCAGTGCGACAGTGTATACAGGCGGCAGCAGTACAGGCCGAACTGGGGTTTAGCCCTGGGAAGCCGAAATTTGAATGGGCCGAAAATTTGTACTTCGAAGTAGACTGGCAGTACCTTGTTTGAAGTTGTAGTTAAAGCATCGTTGACAGGTCAGTAGCCAGTTTGAGCTACTGTATGACACATTATTTTCGGTGTAACTTAATTTCGGTAGAAAAAACCAGGCACCTAAATTTGGATTACACCTATAAAGACTATGCACTCTAAGTTATGTGAAGGAAATGCTGGTCACCTAATTCTACATTACACCTGAAACCCGGGCTGGTCCCTGACACCGACATTTTGTTTTCTTTTGGCCTTATGCTTTATCATTGCATAGCAGAGCATGCTCACGAGTCTGTGAACACGCTGGTCTGACCAGGGCACCCGAGCAAAACCCGACAAAATGAGCGGCAGGTATGCTGAGTTGTCAGCTTTGCCCCTGGTGAATGTTTTGCAACTGTACTTTGCTGCAGCGTATGTTTATGGTGTCCACCCATCCACTCTGGCTATGATAGCAGTTGGAATATCAGGCAACCAATGGTGAGAGTGATGTAACAATAAATAGGCAGGTTTTGTCACGTGTATTTGTAAGCCTTGTGTACTTTACGTGTGTCAGTGCCCGTGGATGTGATCCCCTACTGTGAAAGAAACCTGCCAAGCGTGTATGCATCCATACAAAACCTGGGCGTAAGTGGATCTATAAGTCTGTGCTGCTATGGCTCCAGCCTGGCTATGCCATCATCACTTTCGAACCCTGTATGAAAGCCTGAGGGTAACCATGGTAGCTGAAGTGCAGATAAATCGGAGTGGATGAGCTTTTAGATGGACTTAGTGTTACCTCCGTACAGTGTACTGAGCGTCATTTCCGGAGGGTTTTCCTGATCTATGCTTGTTTGTGACTAAATTTCTTGGTGTCTCGTGTCTTGTTTCTCCATACCCGTGCATGCAGGGAGTGGACTATTCAGCAAATGCAGTCTGCATCTGCTCCAACCACCACCGACACTGAGCAGGAAGACAATGCGGCGAAGCCCCGTCGTTCACCGCGTGCAAAGAAACAGCAGCAGCAACAAGACCAAGGGACACATGATGACTCGCCAAGACTTCACACTCACCACAGCGCTAGCAGTCCGCATCAATACCACGGATCATCTTCGCAAGGGCTGTTGCAATCCAGGCACCAATCCACTGAGCTGCGCCGAGACTCTAGCTCTGATGTCCTGTCGCCACTGCATTCACCGCCTCGCTCTCAGGCTGATGGCGGTGATATCCGCTCCACGGATTTGCAGAAGACATCGTCAGTGTCAACAGCGGGCACCAGTTCACTGAGTCAGCCACAGCTAGGAGAGATGATTGCAACTGGTGAGACAGTAACAGAACTTTCTGACTTCCAAGCGGTGACAGCAGTATCCTCTGTTCATCCCCAGCCGCAAGCCGCCGTACCGCCGTTGCCTGTGAGTACAGCTGGGAGCTCCTCCGCCGTCACACATACAACGGATGGAGTTGGTGTAGGCAGAACTCAGTTGCTGCCTACAATACCATCGCCACGGCCATCAGCTTCCTTTAGATCGCCTGGTTCAGATATACTCACAAACTCACGGCAGCAGCAGCAACAGCAGCGCAATCGGCAGTCTGGCTCTCAGCCGATGCATGATCACGCCATATCGCCACTGGCTCTTAGCTCCTTGGATATGCCACTTCGCACGACAGCAGCAGCGGTGGACAGACAGCATGTTGCCAGCCAGTCGACGCATGTCCCCGTCACTGAATCCCCGCTGCACACGTCCACTCATGCGCACAGTTTCAACGTGGCATCGTCGACTGGCCACCGAGCTGGACCCGTTGCATCCAGCGCACCGGCCTTGACGCTCGGCTCCGCATCGTCAGTGACCATGGCAACTGAGCAGTCTGCTGTTCTGGCCGGACACGGTGCCGGTCGTTTAGCGCCCTCGTTCTCTCTCTCGCCCATCACCGCCAGTACAGGCCGAGAAGCGGTGGCGGTGTCCACAGCTTCTAGTACAGGCTCACCCAGTGTACACAGTGGTGGTGATGGTGGTATGGTTGTGTCAGCGGCGGTGGTGCCTACGAGTAGTGGAAGCTCGGCACCATCTCAACCGTCCCCTAACCAGCACTCCAGCAATGTCGGCACTGCCTCTCAGTCGATCGCTAGCGCTTCAACTGCATCATTGTCCACCACCTCCACGTCATCAGCGGTGATCCCCTCCACTTCGGTTTCATCTAGAGGTGGTGCGGCAACCAGCTCAGCCAGATCGGGAGACGGTCATGTCGGTACGAGCGCGGGTTCTGTTTTGGTCGACAGTGCAGTGTTTAGCCAAGCGTCGTCGCTCGGCGCTAGTAGTGCGGCGGCGTTTGCCAATCGCAGCGCACCGTCAACCTCCTCCAGCCGTGTGCACGGCCACTCCAGTAGCGGCGGCGTTTTAGGCACTGCCGCTGCGTTGTCGTCGTCACACACCGACCTAAGCTCAATGGTGGTCGGTGTGTCACCATTGCTCCACTACCACTCACCATCAGCGCAGGTCGACAGCACTCCGTCGCGACACGTCACGTTTGCGTCCTCGTCCGCGTCCTCGAGCCTCATCACACCGCTGCTGCAGTCGCAAGGAACGTTATCAACCGGCTCGCCATCTCATCATCATCATCATCATCAGCAGCAGCAGTCGCTGGTCATGACGCCTAGCTCGGACCGTCTGTCCATTAGCAGTCTCAGTTCTTCTCGTAGTGACGTCGCCACCGATGGTAGTGGCCAGTTATCGGATACAGGACGACGCACACAGCCTTCGGTAAGATCATGAGTATCATGCCACGCACTACAGTGAAACAGCTGTCTAAGACGACCGCTCAAGGGACCTTCAACATGTGGTCTTTGTAACCAGGTGGTCTCCTTATCCAGGGTCATTTGACTGGAAATAGCATGCCTTGGTCCTGGTTTCAGTGGTCTTCTAGGACAGGTGGTCGCCAGTCACGGACGGTCTCACATTCATATATGATTGTGCTGTGCAAACCTCTAACTAAGGACCACCTGCCACTAAAGACCGCTTTTTCTGGCCCCAAGGGGTGGTCGGTAGTCACAGGCTTTACTGTACATGTGTACTGCATCATTGTTTTCTATCACCAACACGTGTACTATTACCCAGTGGAATGTCATAATAGAATGATTTTTTCCACTTCGGAGACGATCGGCAGATGTGGTGCTGCAGCATGTGTGCCAGCTGATGTGTGTGTGGGTGTGTGGGGGTGCATGTGTGTGCATGTTCATATGCCGGTTTGCGTTGCAGGATATGACGGTTCTATTGCTCGGCGAGCAAGAAAGCTACAAGAGCATGGGAGACCGTAAGTGTAATCTTGGAGTGTGACATTGGGGTTCGGGTTGTTCCCCTCATTCTCACCCTTACATAATATAGCTTAGGTTGTATTTGCGTAGGGCTCCCTAGAAACTTTGAGGATCTCATGTACTGTAAGAGTTGAAAGTGTGACGAGCCTAAAAGTTTAACGATTTGCAAACACTTCCACTTAGCTGGCACAAAAAAAACCGACCCTGCCATCACACACCTGTCTTCTATTTCTAATACAGAGGGGAGCAGGAATAACAGACGTGTAACGTTTCTGGAGTTAATGATGGATTCCTTCTCGTTAAAACGCTGGACGTTGTGCTCCGTTAGAGATTCAACTCTTACTGTACATGTACACCAGTATCACTTTTTGCAGAAATGCTCAGTCAGGCTTTCCAAGAAAATATTTAATTTTGAGCCTCTCCTAGCTCTTCGGTCCTACCTGACAAGGACTCTGGAAGACACCTGAAGATTGCCGTGCTTTTCCCGAGCGCGCTTTAAACATGCATACAAAATGTCCATGGTTCGAAATCGAACCATGGACGCCAAAGGGTTAAAAGGTGGCTCGTGCAACGATTGCTCTGAAAATTTGGTGGGCGTTTGCTCTTAGCTATTATTAGGTAGTGTATGCAAATGGCGAAATAAATAAAAAACCGGGGTCTCAATGCTAACTTTTGAGATATAGGCGATGACAGACAATTTTCACTAAATTGTCAAATTTGTACAGGATTTGTGATGTATAGCGGATGGGTACCGGTATTTCATCAAGAATCTGATTTACTATCTTCCTCGTTTTTTGGTTATTGAATGTACTAAACTTGTACATGCCAATGAGAAAATTTAAAAAAAACCCATTTGCTTCAATGCTCAATTTTGCCAGTGCAGAATGCCTTTTTGATAAGTTTGCTTTGTTGCATGTACATGTACATATACATCTACCCTTCTCTACTAGCCCACCCCAACCCTGCAATACACATAGACACACACACACACATACACACACACACACACACACACACGCACACACGCACACACACACACACACACCTTGACCTTGAAATATAGCTGCCGTTAAACGGCTAAGCTGCCCTCATGAGGAGGGGAACAAAGGGGTAGCATCACAGCTTCGCGGCAGAACATCCGAACTCATACCGTTGCAGATCCTGCTGTCTGCAATATCTCTCGTCGCACTCACAGCAGAACTTGAACTTGAGACGCCCCCTCGCTGTTGGTCGCTTGCCACGCTCGCAATTGTGTCGTTTTTACACCCACCCACACGCGCACACACGCCCGCAGACAATGGCTCCAATGAAGATTAGGTTACTACTTCTTTGCAAAATGCTGCATGACAGAATCAATAATCCGGCGGTTGCTGGTGACCCGTGAGCTGCCGGTCGCCTTGTCGATAAACAATAGCCGTATGCCTATTTGGGGGTTTCTTTGGTAGGCCTGGACGAGGTGATCGTACGTGAGGCCAGAGCCTGCAGTGACACAAAGCCTTGCTGACTCGCTTCGCATCAGCTTCAGAGAAGGCGCTGCTGACGTGGACCTTTGACTCTATGAGCTTCCTCCCCTCCGTTGCAGTGGACATCTTGAGTCCGTACTTCTTTCCGATCCAGGTCACCATTTTGCTATGGTCCTTGGACTCAATCTGTCCACCGCTCGGGAGGAGAAGAAAGGCGTCGCTGCTGGCGGCCATCAGTCTCCGATACTGATGACTGTAGTGCATCATGGCACGCAACTGGATCCCGTCTGCGCACACAAACGCAAGGTGGGTAGCCCCGGTCTTGTGATTTCTCACCCACACCACCAGTTTGCCGTCGTCACCCATTTTTTCACTCCTTTCTCGTATTCATCATGGGTCATGTTGATGACTGCACTCGGCCTCTGCCCATTGGCCAACGCCAATGCCACCGCGAGGTAGTGGACAAGGTGTCGGTGTGCGTCTGGTGTCGGAGGTTCAGACATCAGGCGCTCGATGTCCTCCGTTACCTCGGGGTTCTTGAGAAAGGCTGAGATGGAGGAGACGTCAGCGTCCTTGTCTGCCTCGTCCTCCATGCGCAGCAAACTCTGGGTTTTCTTCAGCTTCAGGTAGACGAGACGGACAGCTTGAATGTCTTTTTTTGATTTTTTTATGTTTTTTAGCTAGGGTTCGTCGTCAGCCGTGGTACTTTTAGGGAAACTGTGGGCGGCCAACAGGGCATCGCACGCCGTCGTTAGCCCTGATGGCCCCTGTGGGCGGCCAACAGGGCATCGCACGCCGTCGTTAGCCCTGATGGCCCCTGTGGGCGGCCAACAGGGCATCGCACGCCGTCGTTAGCCCTGATGGCCCCTGTGGGCGGCCAACAGGGCATCGCACGCCGTCGTTAGCCCTGATGGCCCGACCCCGCACGCTCTGACCTCCTCCAAATTTTGCGAGCAAGCCTTCGTGTTCATATTGGCCACAGACACACAATCCTTGTCCACGTACATTGCTATCTTCCGGATTGTGGTCAGGTACATCGCGGCGTCTTTGTGGGTTGGCTGTGAGCCGTGTTTGTCCAGCAAAGTGGTGGCCTTTTTGAAGTTGGACATAGGGCTTGCTGTGAGCTGTCCCTGATCCGCACCACTGGGAAATAGGAGGCACGGAAGACAGAAACCCCCGTCGCATTTGGGTGAATAGACCAGCCACGTGTTGTCCTCTAGCCACTGGTGACGAAAACGACGGTTTCTGCCATCATTTCCTGTGTGGACAGGAAAGTCGTGTTTCGGTCCTGACACAAAGTGGTGGTCGACCAAGCGACGCTTCTCATCAGAGGACACGGCAAACAGGTCCACTTTTGTGATGCAAGGTTGTAGCCTTCTCCAATGTCGTTTGGAGTGCCGCCTGAAGCGACTACATCAACCTCGTCGGGTTTATCCACCGCGGTAGACCCGGCAGCCTGGGCTACTTCTCCTGCGACCTCTTCAACTACTACCACTTCGTCTGACTCTTCACCTCTTGAAGAACCCTCATCGCCACTCGAGGAACTATTATCAGATTTTTTCGCTGCAGCAACAGCTCCCGCAGCAACAGTTGCAGACTGACGACCGAACGCTTCACTTAGAGTTAGCTGCGGCAGCGTGGAAGCTTTGCGCTTCAATGACGGCGGTCGATTTGACATTATGAAAAGAGCAGCTCAGTCATAGTCAGATACCCATACTTCAGGAAAGAAATCAAAGAATCCAGACCTGAAAGCAAGAAATCGAAACCGGGAAAGAATCCGACTGTCGCAAGGTAATGACTATGTTTGCTGTGCACAGTTAGTGTTAGTGTGCGCGCTGCACGTGTACGTAGAAGGCCGTTTGCATGCCGCGGTCACACCGAGCTCGATTCAGCCGTTCAGCCGAAACAAGCGCTTGTTTACGTCACTATTACCATGGAAATGGCTGAAAAATGTCCTACATGTATAATACAAGCGACTTTCAGCCGTGGCATGACTCTCAGCCGGTTTTTTCCGGCTTGTTTCAGCCACAGCTTGTACAAGCGGCTGAAAGCCGAAACAAAAAATAATTAATTATTTGAGTGCGCTTGGACGGCGCTCCGCGATCCGGAGCACACCATATGTAGCTAGTTGACATGATGATTGATGTTCTTTCTTGTGTCCGTGGAACCGTGCTATCCCTGTGCCTTTGGTTTTGACCATGAGTCTGTCTACCCCAACTACACTGTATTCAGTTTGATTTGGATTTTGTCCGACGACCATGGATTTCTGCCGCTGTGCCTCTAGACTGCTGCGTAGATTGTTGGAGCTGTGGTTTGAGGCCAAGACAAGGCACCACACTCACGACCGAATTCATGAAGAAAGCCGGGTACGAAGAAGAGAGTGGATTGCAACCGAGTTCAATAACGGCAACCGGCGGGGCAGAAAGCTCGACATCAGGAAACACCACCTGAACCATCGCGTCCATGCACACCGAACAAATAAAAAGAGCACGACTTCGCAATTCAGAATCCGGGCTTCCTTTGCTGCTTCATCAAAACTGAACACTAGAACAAGTACAGTTTTAGATCGCGAATGTTCTGCTCTCCAGTTTCTTGCAAACATTGGTGTGTTTCGAGATATTCAAAATTTGGCGGGTAAGAAAAACAAGCCATTCAAGCTTTGCACTCAAGGTCTGGTGTGACCGCGTCACAGGGATCACGCAAAGCCAGCTGAGCGCCAGCGATAACAAGCCCAAAGTGGCTTGTTTTGGTGTGACCGGGGCCTAAGTGTACGTGTCACATCCGAGGTGCAGTATTTTTTTTTTCAAAACCCAGATTGAAAATTTTTGGGGGTGCACGTGCCCCCCCCCCCCCCCCCCCCCCGGGCCGTGCCCCTCGCCGAGCACGCGCCTGAGGATTGGTACAGACAAGATAGGCTGTACGAAGCTTCTCCTGGTCTTGCAGCCCTCAGCAGTGGCAGCGTATAGGCCTCCGCGGAATATGCTCGTATTTTTACCGATAATTCTTTTGAGCATTGCTCAAAATTTCGACCGATTATTCCCGTAATTCCACCAATAATTCTCAAAATAATTCTTTTTTTCTTCCCTTGTTTTCAGATACCGTACCGCGTATGGGTTTTTTGCCACTTGTACCGGCAAAAAAATCACGGTTCGCGTGAAACTCGGCTGGAAGGTTTTTTTTCTTTCTTTTTTGAAATACCGGGCGATCAACTTCAGGATCATGAGCTTTTTGGTACAAATCAGGGTGTTATAAATGGAAAAAAATTGAAAAAAGGGGGGCATTGCTCAAATTTTACCGATTATTCCACAAAAATTGCCAATAATTCCCGTTTTAAAAATCACACCGATAATTCCCGTTTTAAAAATCACACCGATAATTCCCGAAATTATGCCGGCACATTCCGCGGAGGCCTAGCAGCGTATCGTCAAAGCCCACCGCCTTTGAGTCCATGGCAATGCAGCAGGATTCCATAGCATTGCTGAGGACACGAGCGTCAAAAGCAAAGCAATTGTGAGCAAATAAAATACACGATGTGGGAAGCCAGTCCATAAGGGCTTGAAGCACCACTTCCAACGGGGAAGATGCAACCAGCTTCCCAAACTGCAGGAGTGCCCGCGATCCATTCATGATACCAACCGTGAAGCCAGTGAGCACACTTGTTCCAGTCGATATCGGAACAGAAGGCAAAGCACACCTTGAAAATTCCACTGGCGGTGAGGAGCCAAACTGCAGTGCAGCAACTTGAAATGGCTCGCTGTCACGCTGCAAGCGTTTCCGACAGATGTAGGCATGTGCAACCGTTGATCAAATTGATCATTCTGATGAAATCGGGTATGTCAACATTCTGTGCATCTTCAAATGCACGTTGGATGCTCTTGGTAACATCTCCGTCGATGTTCATGTACATGAATGGAAAAAACGGCTAGGATCTCTGATCTGTAGCCTTGCACACTGTATCGTGTCTTCTGCTTCTGTGAGGCAAGTCTTTTGCCACCAAGGCGACTCACGCCACAAGGAGGGGTGGCAGGAAGGAGGCATCCAATAGCGAAGGCAAGGCGATCCAACTGCAACTCAAAGCTTTGCATGTACTTGAACAGTAATAAATTCTATTCTATGTTCGTCCATGGTATTGTGACACCTGCAAAAAAGTGCAAATCAATCGTCTTGCACATCGTGAGAACTCTATGCATGCCACGGGAAGATTTCTTCACCAGAGCCTCCACAGATGTTAACCTACATCTTTATCCTTTACTTGTTTACAGCTCACGCCAGCGTCCTGTTCTTCTTTCAATTTCTGCGCAATCCACTTGAACCTTTCAACATCCTTCTTCATCTTTTATCAAAACGGGTTTTCACTTCAAAATACAGGGACAGCAATAATTCTTCCAGTTCTGGAGTCCACTTCATGGTACTAGCAGAAGAGAGCCAGTCTACACGTAACAACAATACCAAACAGCACCCTAACAACAACAGTATCGGCACACAGCACTTTGACGAAAGCCTTCACCATACAGGTTCTGCAAAAGAGGATATGCAGAAGCGGAGGTTCCGCTCCCAGTTTTTGCCGTTGAGAAATTCAAACTTTCCACCGAAGCAGAACTTATGCCTCCACTGTTGCCTCAGGAACAGCGGAGGCGTAAGTTCCGCTTTGGCGGTGCCGCCAAAAAGATGTGTTTGACTGCGGCTTAAAGCACTCATTACTGAGTCATTAGCCAACCATCACGATTGGGCTGTGCAACCGATCTAATCTGTATGTACCTGTGTCTACGTGTGTGGGTGTGGGTGTGCATGAATGTTGGTGGGTGTGTGTGTGTGTGGGTGTGTGTGTGTGTACGTGTGCGTACACCGTTTGTCTGGACAGGCCTAATGGCAGAGGTACTGAAGCACCATCCCGGAGCACCGTCCACGTCATCCGAAACGGACGAGTATTGATCACCCAGATCTGGCATCCACCTGAGCCCCCGCCGGGGCGCATAGCTGTGCCAGCTTGATCATGATCCTCTCGTATGGTTAGTTCAGGGTTCACTGCATGTTCTGTCGTCAACTCCATCCACACATACAGCCAGTACTGATACACTTGCTGTGATTACAGTTACAAGTGTAGAGTCTGAGCCGGAAAAAAGAGTTGCTTCTTCGCTCCACTTCTATTTTTAAATCTGACGACAGTCTCAGTGGCATGGAAGCACCAACTTGGTTCCTGCCTGCTTTCTTTTCCACGGCTGCTGGATCAGCTGAATTCATAGTCTCCAATTTGATCAATCTTAGGCCTCAGCATCAGCACACACACACACACACACACACACACACATGCACATTAGTCTGTTGAAATGATATCGTTGTTACCTGGGAAGATGCCCAAGTGCTGTGAATGGTATCCCGTGACAGTGGGACCGGGCTACCATTGATCATTCCCCTGCATAGAAACTGTGAATTCAAGTCCTGACGAGACATCGAAAATTTATTTCAAACTTACTCATAATTATTTTTCGAGCTAGCCTTGTCGTACCGTACTCTCACCATTTCACTATGTCATATTTTCGAAGCATCTCCTTTCCCCTTGAAATACTCCCTGTAGATATTTTAGTGGCTTCCTCCGTAGGCTTATCTGTTGGCTGATTATCGTTTTCCAATCACTGGTGCTTGCAAACTGGTGCAATGGTATCCTCAGTGTACATGCTGCGCAATGTATTTCGCAAGTGCATGTAGTACCTACATATCTTGACTTCAGACATGTAGGACCAAGATGTATTCTTGGTAGGACTTGACTGTTGTACTAAGCTACTGGCCTGTTATGTGCTCTTCAGTGGCGTCAGAAGCAGGGAGTAGTAAAATACTTTGAGGTACTAGTATTTTACTACACCCTGGTCGGAAGGTATTTTAGGGTCAGTCAACCATCTGAAGTACATTATTGTACAATTGACTCGTTGGTACTTTACTCGTGGGGGGGGGGGGGGGAGGGGGTGCTTGGTAGCTCCGCTGGAAAAAAATTCGAAATTTAGAGCCCAGATCAGTGCATGTTATTGATTCACATGATATCCGAGGCTAAGATTGGTACATGTACAGTCGATACCATAGTGACCGTAGTGTGCCCAATGCCCCTCCGATACCCTGGTGCATGCTGTCAATCTTTTCTACACCCATATTTTTTGCGGTGCGGTGAGCCCGTAAGTGCATGGGGTCATATTTCTTCCAGTCCACACTACAATAAAGGGAGTTGTGTAACTCCCTGGTCCACACATATGTACATATAGGCTGGAGATCTGACCCGGGTCCACACATATAGGCTGGGGATCTGACCCTGGTCCACACATATAGGCTGGGGATCTGATCCGGCGGTTGCCAGCCGTTGCACGTGCGGTTCAATAGCCGGGTCATTTTTCAAGATTTCTTCGATCTGCATCTTTGTCACAGTCCCCTCTCCCAACGAGAGACCCACTTGACCAGTGTCTGACAGTGAGCAAGTACACTACACGTGTGCCCGTATGCATGTGTGTGTGTGTGGGGGGGGGGTCCTGATTGAACAAATGGTGTGATCACGATTACAGTCCGAAAAGCCTGCAACCAACAAGCCTTGTGTGGACATGCATGTACATGTACAGTCTGTATCAGCTATAGGATAATAGCGTACCCTTTCGTTTTCAATGGTTTTTATCACTCGAGGCATCACTCAGTGACAAGCGATATTGCATCCACATCGGATCATGTGTGTAGACGTGTGCATGCAAATGACATTGCACTGCACAATGTAGTATTGTAGACGTGTGCATGCAAATGACATTGTACTGCACAATGCACAATACGTTTTGTGGAAATGTCATGTCTTTCAGTGCAGACAGTACGCACACCCATGGCTCACAATCCACCCGCTTGCTGTGTATATCGCTACATATACAATGCCACTATTATTATTATAGTGTGCAATGCATGTTCCGATCCTGGGATCAGCCTAGGGTTTCCACCTGCCGTTACCCGTAGCTGGCTCTTGGACGTCCTTCAAGTTTAATCCATCTAGGGATATGTTACCACATCGATCACAAATTCATGAATTTCGATCCATGATGGATAACTCACAAGGCCGTGGAAGAAAACAATTCCGCAAAACGCTGCTGATGCTTACAAACTACAACACAATGGCAACTCACACTTGTAGTCTGTCTAAAGAAAAACACTTCCTGGGAAGAAAGCAACGTTGCAACCGCCCTCAACAATGATTATTATTTACTCGATTTTGTGATTATAAAAATATGCCATGGATCATGGAATGATGATGTAAATTTTTTACACCTCCTCTACAGGCGTTTCCATGGGGAAAATGGCGCCGTGACGCTGATTTCAAGATCAAAAAATAATCAGCTGACTATTGTTCATGCATGATGTTTGCACGTGTACGTGTGTAGATCTTTCAGCACGAAAAATCGAATTATATTTTACTTTTAGTGCTTATGGAAAAGAAGAAACGGCTTGATAGCTGTGTGTGAAAATAATGTTGATGGCGATGAAGAGCTACGTGTTAACTTACAGCTGAAGGTCAAGCAGAACCATGGTGTGAAGTGTTTCTGACAAAATCCCAGTGTAGTTGTGAACTGCTGCAAAAATGCAGGTTGTAGACGTCAACGATGTCAAGATTTACAATCTTAGCTCAGGTAAAACACTGCCAGACTGGATTTCGGAGAGGAAGCGACGTTCCATGGTGAAAAATGATGCTGGCTTGCAGAAGCGTATCCAACTCCTTCAGGAGTTTGAGATGCCTACAGCGTCAACGAAAGTACGCCTCTCTCCTGATGGCCAATACATCCTGACAGCAGGTATGGCTGTAGTAATAAACAATACACTGTAACACTTTTGGATACTATGTATGGGCAGTTTGCGACGCTACATGATTGCCATTGAAGTTGGGATGCAGCTCAGACTGTTTAAAGAATTAATGATCACTATTCTGAAGCCTCTTTTACGGGCAAAAGAAACACAATGGATGAAAATGCAATACAAATTCAATGCAAAACCAGAAAACCAGAAAAGGAAAAATGTAACCCAAAGGAAAAGGAAAAAAGTGTGTGAATTAATGATACTACTTGGTATCACATATTCTTGGAAAAACATGTTCTATCCAGGGTGCTTGCACTGAAGTTTCACCGTAGCCTGGGGAAATAGTCCATTGTGGCACCGAGCGAGCACAATGCTTACCAACCGGAACTTCCCACTTTTACGGTAGACGTCCGCATACCCGCCAACCTTTGCAAACCTGAGATCGGGACAATGACATCCCTAGGTGTGACAATGTATACAAATCTAGCTGAGGTATGCGACAAAAATGCACTTTGGGGTGCCTAGTACAGTAGGTATCGGTTATAGCGTGGGTGTTTGAAACACGACATTTGAGTCTTATTGCCTATATTTCTTACACACGATAAATCACGTGTGACATATCATATGGACGTGTGACGTGTGACATGTAGGTCTACACATGATACACACGGATCAGACTCGCGGTCATGCTAGGCGACTGCGGAGCAGCAGATACGAGAGAAGTCGGAAGAAAGAGTCCTACTGGACAGAAAAAGTGATTCTCCAATGCTCAGTTGCACACAACTCTCTTTTTGTGTTGAATATTATTGTATTGAGTATGCACAGAGCACAGATGTTATTACTACAGGCGATACACTTTGCACTAATCTGGCATATTTTGCTACACAAAATCCATTCTTAGGGCAGATATATTCTACTATGCGATAATACTGCTTGTAAGAATAAATATACACCTAAAATATGTAATTTCAAATTTGGACTTCACGGAGAATTTTCAAAGTGTTAGGAAATTTGAGGCCACATGCCACGTAATGCTCTTTTCTCTCCGAAACTCAACACTTGCAAGCCAGATATGAAAGAAAGAAAAAATCATCAGTCACACCACCAGGACTCGAACCAGGGACCTTGCTATTCGCGAGCAATGCTCTAACCAACTGAGCTACAGTATGACTCTTATCCACAGTGATGGTAAATCTATCCTTCTTCGATCAATCAATACCTGGCTTGCATCATACTGGCAACTCACACCAATCAAGAGGGCCCTCGGCCATTCGCTTGATATCATGGGGAGCGCATCAAACTATGTCCACTGCGAGCAAATACAAGCGAATGGCCGAGGGCCCTCTTGATTGGTGTGAGTTGCCAGTATGATGCAAGCCAGGTATTGATTGATCGAAGAAGGATAGATTTACCATCACTGTGGATAAGAGTCATACTGTAGCTCAGTTGGTTAGAGCATTGCTCGCGAATAGCAAGGTCCCTGGTTCGAGTCCTGGTGGTGTGACTGATGATTTTTTCTTTCTTTCATATCTGGCTTGCAAGTGTTGAGTTTCGGAGAGAAAAGAGCATTACGTGGCATGTGGCCTCAAATTTCCTAACACCTAAAATATGTGTTATGATTATGAAAAAATGAGTGTTCATTCTTGTAGGCAGTATATTCTTGTATACGACCACACTATAACCGATACGCACTGTACCACCCTGCGATATCGGGACGGTCCCAGCTAAATCGGGATGGCTGGCAGGTGTGCGTCCAGCTGTCAAGAGAACTCTTGTGGATTGGGGATATTGAACATCAAACGCTTTGTTTGCGAGATGCAGTGCTGGTAGTATAGCCAGTGTTAAGTACAATACTGCTGATCATCGTGCTGTATTGCATCCTGGCTGGATTCGTAGCTGTGGTAGGAATTAGATCAAGGCTGTTATGGTGCAGGTCAAAGTGCTGTAACACTGTATGCATGTAGTTGGCGCATGTCCGCCGAAATGGGAAGTGTGCACCCTTAGGGCGCGTTCAGACTACAGTGAATCCCGTCAAACCGTGAATGCCGATAAACCGCGAAGGACATTCACACTACCGATATCAAACTAACGTTACCGTGAAGTTTTCAGCTCTCACCGCGACACTGACAAGGGATTATCCCTTTTTTCCCAGCGCGCATGCAGCCTGAGCACTTTTTTACTGCCGGCAAAAAGTTTACTGCCGCAGCAGCTGCGGCAGTAAAGCTTTTCCACCGGTAACGTGCCAGTAACGTCACGTGATCAAATCACCTTGGCGACTTTCCCATTCCGTCACTTTTTATCGGTAGTCTGAACGCGCCCTAATAGATAAATCATAGGGATTTTTAATCAAGTAGCGTGCTCTACTGCTGGAAGAGTGCGCAATACCCATATAGGGCAGAGCTTTCCACACAAGACAGACAGACTGAGAGAGAGAGAGAGAGAGAGAGAGAGAGAGAGAGAGAGAGAGAGAGAGTGAGTGAGAGAGAGAGAGAGAGAGAGAGAGAGAGAAAGAGAGCTGTGTTGCGACTCTGAGTTTCACATTAAGTCACAATTATCACTGTTTATCAGGCAACTGATGGCTCCAAAACAGGCAGCCTGAACATAAGAGGGATAGTGCCGAGGTTGCTTCACAGATAGAAAATTGACAAGGGCAGCGGTTAGAGAGGGGACGGGTCAACCGTACTCTATCCCCATGCGTAGGTCTATGATGCGTCTTTCAAAGTGGGATCAGACCAGCCCCACCACCCATGCTCTGAGAGCAATGTCCACAAATTATGCACAATGGGAGGTTTCCAGATGAATGAGTGTCTTAGATTGGATTCACTGTGTAAGTATGCTGTTTCTCATCGGGACTTTCTTGCTTGCCATTGTATGCTGTGGCTGCTTGTAGGTGTCTACAAGCCACGTGTGCGCTGCTATGACGTGAAGGAACTGTCGCAGAAGTTTGAGCGCTGTATGTCTTCAGAGGGTGAGTGTCGATCTCGCTTTGGACTTCTCCAACCGAGTGCGCTCGCAATCAGCACAATGCACCTCGCTCTGAATCTCTTTGCACTGGATTCTATCCTCCACTGTATGCCAAGAGTACATGGCCAATAGTGTACAATTCGATGATCACTCAGCCCACGGCAGTATTTTTACGACTCTGATCTTTTGCGGCCATCCGGCTCACTGATGCATCATGCGTAGCCATAGATCAAAAGTGTAGAGAACGTGTAAAAGTAGTTAGTAATACAGTAGTCGAAGTAGAAAGGCGGGCGGTAGATCCACTCGTCCTGAACCTGGTGAACTGCCACTGTAACGTTACTTGTATGTTCATGGCTCTCGCGAAAGGCATACTGCAAGTCAACAAATATTCGGCACATATTTATTTTCGGCTATTTTCGGCCTGGCCAAGAAATGTGTTGCGTTCAGTGTTACAGCGTATACAGTCAGCAGTACAGGCTGAAAATGTAATGCGGCCGAAATGCGTTTTTACCCCTGGGCGGCCGAAATGCGTTTTTACCCCTGGGCGTCCGAACATTTGAATGGGCTGAACATTTGTAGACTTACAGTACATGCTTGTTCATACCTCTGCCACAACATGGCTCAATACCCAATAGGGGGTTTCGATTACTTTTTGTTGGCGTCTTAGAGGCCCTGTACCAAAGTGACGCACGCGATCGCGACACTGAAGTTTGCCGAGGGGCAAAAAAACCTGCAGCGTGCCGTGCCGCAGACAGGAGCTTGTCGGCATGTACTTTCAATTTCTTTGTCCAAGAATTATCGAGTTCCTTTCTCTGTTCCATTGACAGTTAGTGCTCATGATGACGAGTGGTGCTGCAGCTATTGCAGAGAACGAGTGTCCATGTTGACCTTCCGTTTCGCACGCCTCTCCTATGCATACCGTATTTTCCCCGAAAATAAGTCGCACCGTTTTACCCACAACATCAATAGTAAGAAAGGGGGTGCGACTTACAATTGAGCATGACTTACTACTGAAGTGAATCTATCAAAACAATACGGCTCAAACCTGAAAGTGGGGGTGCGACTTATAATTTGGCAATTACGGTACATGTCTGGTTCCAATTTCTGCTTTATAGGAGATTTCCTGTTTTCACCGTGATGATGGGGCCATGCCCGAAAATTTTGGCGAACACATTTTAGTGACGTATGCAGCAAAGAGACCATGTTGAGTGTTTGAGTTGAGGGACCCTGATGCGTAAACAGCTGCAATGGCATCTGCGAGTGCTTAGAAGCGTTTACGGGAGATTTCACGAAAGAAAATACCGTCGGAATGTCGGCTGGTGAAAGCTTGCCATCGCTTTTCTTCCCACCTACGAAGTGGGAAGAGCACAGCCGTGAACTGTTGCTGTGATTCCAGCCCTCTCTACGCACTGCACTCACAACTGTCTTATCTCTGCATACTGTAAAGTCTTGTATAAAAGCCGCCGCTTCTATGACTTTCTGGGTGAAATTTTGCAGGCTTCTATATGAGACAGGCTTCTATACAAGACAGGTATTTCTATGTATGTCAACACTAAAACCAGGCTTATGTGTGATTTGATGGGCCCAAAATTGCGGCTTCTATTCAAGCGGGGCTTTTATACAAGACGTTACGGTATATTTTTTCCGGAAATCTGTAACATGTAATCTGACTGCTCTTCTTGGAGCGGTTGGTAAAACCAACAGTGCAAGGACTCTTCGGCATCACCAATGATACTAATTACTCGTACAGTACGAACAAGCTGCTAAGGGGAGCACGGCGGCCTGCTCCGAACAAGCCTTATATAGTTATAGCGAAGTGCTAAATCTAATGAGTGAACAAGGAGAAAACATAAGGAGAAAGGAGAAATCTGTCGTTAAAAACTTAAAATAGAAAACGTTATACAGAACTCGATTATGCTGTTGGTACTTAGTGAGCATTGAGAAGAGTGAGAATCATTGGTAGATTCAGTACCTTTCATACATATTAAGTCGTAAACCGGTCAATTTTGGGAAATCATTATTAGCGACTATGCTTTTGCAGTAAACTAAAACTACATGAAGTTGATTTTTGAAGACTAGACAAGGACGACTTGCCACTCAGACGCAAATCAGTCCTGCGGCATTAGGGGAAATCCCCATCTCGCGGACGGTGTAACTCATTCGAAAACCCTCTATGATAATATTATAATTATTACAGTTGTACATGTACATGAAACAACTCCACCGCGAGCTAGCCCATTGCAGTTCAAGATAGGAGTTGCACTCTGTTAGGTATGTACTCTTGAGTATACAGTAAAGTACCGTTCATCCGCTGACCCTCCCCCCCACGCGATGTTGCTTCCCAGCAGGGGGGGTGGGGGTTAGATCATGGCTGTCAAGTGCAGTGCGCAATACAACAATGTGGTAGGTCAGACTTGGTGTGCTGGATTGTGCGCATTGTCGTCCTGCACTGGCACGTATTGTGTACAGCAGTGCATGCGTCGGTTTAACACCGTACTTTATTGCATACGCCGAAGTCGCTTCACAGGCAGAAATTCGACCGGGGGCGGAAATTAGATAGGGGGGGGGGGGGGGGGGGGGGGGGGCGGATTAACGGTACTTTACGCTACATGTACTGATGTCCCTCTCTTTATAACTTCCACTTTGCCTGCACTGTGTATCGATTTATTCCAGTGGTGCAGTTTGAAATTCTCTCCGAAGACTACAGCAAGGTAAGATAAAGCAAGATGTGTCTTTCCTGTTGCCATGGTAACAGTTATGTCTTTCAAAAGAAGGATCCTCGAGCGAATTTCGAGCCCTGCAACCCTGTCTTTCCGGGGCAGTGGCTACCGATTAGGCTACCGGGATCACACACGCACCCATGGCTCCTTGCTACAGTATATCTTGCCTGTTGCCATGGTGTTATGCATGACAACAGGTGGCAAAGTTCTGGCTAGAGCTCGGATCCCCACTAAATTTGAAAATAATCTTGTGTGTCATGAATCATTATGGAGGTAAATTAAAATCAGATCCTTTTAACTCAGATTTGGCATGGTCTCATTGCCGTTGCTATGGCAACACCATGGTAACGTGCCATAGTAACACCATGGCAACGGAGCGGCAGCCAACTTTGTGTGTTTGTGCTGGGTTTGGGTACAGTAGTCAATGGTTGCAATTTGTAGGTTGTTGCGCCTTTACTCAGCAATGCAGTTTTTTTCTCCTTGCTCTACCGTGTCTTTTCGACTTTTGGGAATATTGCCACTGAACGAAGAATGGCATAAAGCCAATACCTTCGATGGGTTATAATCAAGATCGTACTCACTAGGATCATTTCTATAGTACGTATCCCGTCTTTGTTCTCCAACAAAGACAACCGCATAAGCCACGAGGATGACATGTAGCATCCTCCCTTGAGCGGGAAGCACGCCAACACTTCAGCGTCCTTGGATGCAAGAGTGTTGGTGATTGATGACCGTTCTTCACTGGCCTTCTGGTCGGTGTGGAGGGGGAGGCTGCTTTATGAGTGGCTTTTTTTTATAATCTAAAAAAGAAAGTAAGTTCATTCACATTCAGGTGTTTTTGTGTTCTTGCTTCATTCATCCTTTGCAGATGGTGTTCCTGCAATGTGATCGTTATGTGGAGTTTCATACTAGGGTATGTACATGTATGTTCACACATTCCCCCATACTCTCCCAAAGAACTACAAATAATAATAGATGGATGTAATTGTTCAATTCTAATACTTAGTAAGTGAGATGACAAGACTGGAAGGAAAGGCCTACTACTGATGACACTCCTGTTGTGGACATTGAACTCCGTTGAGAAGTCAAGCGGCCCACAGAATTCCATGTTCCATTTCAGCGTGGTTGATGGTGTAGCTGTCCTGAGGGAGCTGACTGATTCTGAAACGCCTTTCGAACATTGCTCGAAGGTCCGGTTGTACATTCTGCCATGATTCTGGCGAGCGTGTGAATGTGCAGCTGACACTTCTCCAACGCAACAAGGCAGGCTTAGCAGTCGTCACGAAAATCACGTAGAGCGAAAACCCAACTGCGCGGAATTTTACGTATGAGGATCACGTGCAGTTCCTACATTATTTTCATGTGTATTACTACGTAGGGCGAAACCTCCCTAGTATTACGTGCTGCGTGTACAGTCGCAGTGTACTCTCACATACTGTAAGTCAACAAACATTCAGTGCATAGTTATTCCCGTAGCTATGCAGAAGACGTTACTTCAGTAACGTCTGGCGCTAGCCAGGGTCCACACAGCTTTAATTTGGTATTTGTTTGTGTGTTTGTGTCACGCCTGGCGCTATCCGTATCTGACGGCAAAAAAGCATAGGATGTTATAAATTTTTCAATTCTCCTATTTTTTTTTTCAGGCATATCCTGGGATTCGAACCCGCACTATCGCCCTGCATGCATTCCCCCATACACTTCGCATTTATACCCATTCTTCCAAGTTGCTTCACGTTATTATCTTGCGTTTGAAAGCCTTATTTGAATATTGCGGGCAGCTAGACGGTGTCGTATTACCCTCGATCGTACCTGTCCCGTACCTATCCCCTACCGTACCGTGCCATCAAAGACGGCTGGCCACAATGCATATTCAAATAGGGCTATAAAATGCAAGATCACAATGTAAAACAACTTGGAAGAATTAGTATGTATGCGAAGTGTATCGGGGGATGCATGCAGGGCGCGCGCGATAGTGCGGGTTCGAATCCCAGGTTTAAAAAAAAGGATTTTTTAAAGAATTTATAACATCCCTATGCTTTTTTTTGTCTAGGTCATCAAGGCAAAAAAGCATAGCGTAGGGCCCTGAGCTTCCAAGCTCTCTCGTTTTCAGCTATTTTCGGCCTAGTCATGTTTGGCCGAAAAATTTGCTGCAGCTGAAATTTTGTTTTGCAAGGTTCAGTGCGACAGTGTATACAGGCGGCAGCAGTACAGGCCGAACTGGGGTTTAGCCCTGGGAAGCCGAAATTTGAATGGGCCGAAAATTTGTACTTCGAAGTAGACTGGCAGTACCTTGTTTGAAGTTGTAGTTAAAGCATCGTTGACAGGTCAGGAGCCAGTTTGAGCTACTGTATGACACATTATTTTCGATGTAACTTTATATATATAATAATTTCGGTAGAAAAAACCAGGCACCTAAATTTGGATTACACCTATAAAGACTATGCACTCTAAGTTATGTGAAGGAAATGCTGGTCACCTAATTCTACATTACACCTGAAACCCGGGCTGGTCCCTGACACCGACATTTTGTTTTCTTTTGGCCTTATGCTTTATCATTGCATAGCAGAGCATGCTCACGAGTCTGTGAACACGCTGGTCTGACCAGGGCACCCGACAAAATGAGCGGCAGGTATGCTATGTAGCTAAACTGCTAAAGGGTTAGATGCCAGTACCCCACAATTGTATCTCTCTTGTGCTGAAATGGCCTGGACGACAGCTAGGAATCCGTTGCAGTCGGTTAGTATCATGATAATTGCTACATCAGCTCCTCTGTGTGTTTGTGCGTGTGTGTGCGTGTGTGTCTGTGTCTGTGTGCGTGTCTGTGCATGTGTCGTGGTGGTGGACCATACAGAATGGCTTTCACTACCGCACACGGATTCCCAAGTTTGGCCGTGACTTGGCCTACCATCCATCCACATGTGATCTGTTCTTGGCTGGAGCAGGGTAAGTCACAGTCGTGTGATCTGTTCTTGGCTGGAGCAGGGTAAGTCACAGTCGTGTAACGTGATCTGTTCTTGGCTGGAGCAGGGTAAGTCACAGTTGTGTAACGTGATCTGTTCTTGGCTGGAGCAGGGTAAGTCACAGTCGTGTAACGTTATTTCTCTCATGTAAGTGCGAGAAGCTGCACGAGAGTTCTGTGCACACTTCAAGCATGCTCTCAATTTGGTACGTCAAGTATTTGAGTGCACAAACTCCCCGAAAATTCGAAAGAACACTTGCGGTGCGGTATGTGCTTGCACTCCGCGCAACACAGACATCTGGAAAAGACCCAACATAATCTACATGTAGTTGGTCAATGCAAAACCTCAAATGCCGAGCAGTATAACTCTGAAACCTGGCTGAAAGTTATGTGTCGTTTCTTGCAAGTATTGAGTGGTGGAGGTGAATTGCGAAAGACAATTTTAAAAAGAATTTCCCCCGAACTCGTAGACTTTGCAGGCAGGCATGGGAGATGGTCTAAGGCCATGGCTTGGAGCTCAAAGTTGGTGCCAGTACTGTACTCGTTAAGCGTTGTGCTGGAGCACACACACACACACACATTGATGTGTCTGTGTGTGCGTGCGTGCGTGCTCGAGAGTATTTGTGCAAGTAGTGTACAGTGCATGCGATCATAGGTGACCGAGCACCAAAATCCAGTGTTCAAATATTCCATTTCTTATCGACCGAACAAACTCAACAAAATCAATATTCTCTTCTGTGGACATTTACCCCTGAAGATAGGTATTGGATGTTTTGGTTTGCACTACCTCAATAACTGAACTCAAATCTCACACGGCCTACGTTCACAACCCAGATCACACTTGATACGTTTAGCAGTTCATGCCATACATAGCCATAGGGCGCAAAACAAATATCGCAATTGAGTTAGTACCCGGATGGTGAGCCATGGAAAATATTAAATGGAAACCAGGAAAACGGTGGGGCACAAGTTATGCGTTAGAATCTTGCCGTGGAATGTCTCAGGACACCTTGACAGTCTGGTGCTACCTTGTGCACGTCTGACTGTTCAAGATCTGGTTTAGTTGGTGGACTCCAACGCAGAACTTGTGCCCCACCATTTTCCTTGTGTCCACGTAAGTGAGTTGCTGTCAGTTCTCTTGCTCTTATTGAAACATCGGTGTACATTGTGATTTTTGTTGGTTGGGGATTGTAACTGAAATCTTTTCTGTATTGCTCTATTGCTGTGCAGCAAGGAGGTGTATCGTCTGAATCTTGAACAAGGACAGTTCCTGGCACCTTATGTCACTGACGCAGCGTAAGATATACGATGACATGTTGTATGTGATTCTTCTCTTCTTAGATGGCCTGCAGCACTGGGTTTAGTCGGCCATTTTGGATTTACTCGTTTTAGTGTTGACCAGTACTATTCACACTTTAGGCAATAGTAGTGTTAAGACAATGTTGGTATGGGGGGGGGGGGGGGGGAGTTGACACGTGCGCGCGTGTGTGCGTGTGCGCGCGTGCGCGCATGTGTGTGTGTGTGTGTGTGTGTGCGTGCGTGCGTGCGTGCGTGCGTGTGTGAGGGGTGGGGGGAGAGAGAGAACTCCATGATTGTCACTGGCTGTCCGACTAAGAGAGAAACTAGAGGGTGCATTTTACTGATTTTAGACTCTGTTACCGCCCGTGCCGTAGGATCCCGATTGACCTAACACTACTATGCTTGTGCGCATGCAGGGGTGAGACTGTGCTCACAGAATGTACGAACAGCGTACAAATGGCCAGGGCCCCCTCCCGCCTGTTGGACCCTTTGCACACCGGTGATAAAGGGTGCCATTTAGCAGCTCAGATTAATTCGAGCACAGTTTCATCGCCGGACACAAGAACGCAATAATACTAAGGAGAAAAACACACTTCAGGCTCTTTGTCAACATCTTGAGAGTTTACACAAGTATAGACTTTATTCGATAAACGTTACAATCACGTGCAGCGGGGTCCCGGGAAGCAGGGAGTGGCAAGAGGCCTGCACTCAGTGCACAGTGGACTCTGCGTGCGAACATGGGAATAGAAAAATACCAGCATTTTACTACTCCCTTGTACGGACTGGGCCTTTCTTGCCACTCATTTCGTGTACACGTGCCCTAGCTAACGACGAATCCCTGCAGGCGAGTCCTAAAATCACGTTATCGAATAAGGTCTATACTTTCAAGCCTCTGCGTCAGGTGAAATACAGGCAAAAATAGGTATACTCTTGAAACCTATCCAGATGTTCAAGAGCCTGCAGTGTGTTCTTCTCCTTGGTATTATTGAGAGAGGTTCCGCATAACGTAATTACGTTAGTAAAAAAACGTAGTCGATCTACGGAAAGTCTTATGTAAACTGCATGCGCATCTGCGTTCCGCCATACGGAGTTTTCAAATCATGTAGCTGCCCTTGGCAACTCCGAACGCGGCAGTGTACGACCAGATCGACCTGGGGAGAGAGTCATAAATTTGTACCCCAATCCACTTACGGACCAGCTGCGTTATCAGAGCCCTATCTACGTACTCTACGTAGACAACTTTCCGTAAGTGGAGTGCAAACTCGCGAATTCACGGGTTTTCCCCGCCCACTAACGTAAAGTTGCTCAACTTTACGTAGTGCGGAACCTCTCTATTATTGATACATGCAAGTGTTCATTGCTGTAACAGATGACCTGAATGGACAGGAAACGCACCACTGAATCTGACTTGCTTTCATTCCCTATTGGAACTCTTGATCTCCTTTCACAACTTCTTGTCACAATTGTGCTGTCTGTTTGCAGTGGTATCAACGTTTGCCAGATCAACAAGCACTTGGATGTGGTCACACTGGGCACATCAGAAGTAAGTCTCTTGTCAGCTATTTGCTTCTGCTGCTGCTTCTGTTGCTGCTGCTGCTGTTGATGTTGCTTCTGTTGATGTTGCTTCTGTTGATGTTGCTGTTGCTGCTGCTGCTTCTGCTGCTGTTGCTGCTTTGCTCACTGCTGCTGCTGTTGCTGTTTCTGTTACTGGTACTGCTACTAGTATTGCTGTTGCTGCTGTGCCCACTGTTGCTGCTTTGGTTTCGGTGGGCTCTGCAGTTTGGTCCCATTCTGCGGTCACTGCTATTTCTTGTGGTGCTACTGATGCCAACAGTGTGCTGGGTACTGTGTGTACGTGTGTGTGTGCGTGCGCACGCGTGTGTGCGTGTGTGTATGTGTATTGTTGACACAGGGCCGTGTGCTGTGCTGGGACCCGCGCTGCAGAAAGTCCGTTGCTACGCTTGACCTAGCAAAGATTCCACTGATTGCTGAGTATGCACCACCCACGTAAGTGCACCTACCGCTGGTGGTTACTTGCTGGTAATACTGTTGCCATCCAGCTATACCTGACCGCTACAGTTGTTGCTTACAGTCCGTTCAAAAAGAAAAAAAATGATCCTTGGTTTTGTCATGAGTGATCATGACACCTAGGACTTTTGGTAACTCTCTTCAGAATAAGACTAGCGTGTGTAGCGGGGCTTTCCCCGTCAACTGGACTAGACACTTGGCTGACTTACCACTGCTGCTATCCAAAGCACATGAGAAGTCAAGTCAGCATGAAAAGCGCCAGCTCCCATGTATGGAGCTACACACACTTGCTCTGCTATAGCTGAAGTCACTGCCACAATTTCATCCTCTTTTGGACTGCTCATGCATCTCTTTCTCTTCAAGTTTGAGGTCGGAAGAAGTATTGATAGTGGAGTTAGCTCTTCAGCCAGGTTTTACTCTTAATTTCAGAAATTTTAGGTGCTCAATATTTTCGGTATGAGGGCCAAAAGCCAGGTTAGGTGAACAGAAAATTTAGGTGCAGAGAAGCAGAGAAGCAGTTTCCTATTTCCTATAAATTGTTACCTGGTGGAATGCTTACTCGTTTAGTGATTTTATTTTTATATTCTTGTGTATACATATACTGTACATGGGCACACCGGGTTTTCAGCCTTTGACCACTTTGTGGTGGCCCAAAAATCTACTCACCTCCCACCGCTTAGGAGCTGCACCTTCCTTGAAGGTGGTGGTGTTCTTGCAGATGCGGAAAACTCAGCCTGAGTCTCTCACACGTACCGTTTTTTCCTTTTTTATATTTTATTTTTTAAATATTCTGCCGTACAGGTTATCGCCATTGGAGGTCAGTTGTATCACATTCAAAGATGAAAATCACATGGCCATTGGCACCAATTGGGGACAGGTTAGTTGACATGCTGTCATCATTATGTGTACGTGTGCGTGCGTATGTGCGTGCGTGCGTGTAGGGATTCACTGGCCAGAAAAGCCACTTCAATCAGCTGTAGACCAGGCTAAAATTAGTGATGGTCAATTCATCAGGCTTGCAAGCTGTTGAATGGTGTAATCCTAGCACAAGTTAGTTGCTATGTTTAACATAGCTTGTTCGCTATCATAGTTTCAGCGGTGGGCATGTGTGTGTGTGTGTGTGTGTGTGTGTGTGTGTGTGTGTGTGTGTGTGTGTGTGTGTGTGTGTGTGTGTGTGTGTGTGTGTGTGTGTGTGTGTGGGTGCGTGCGTGCGTGCGTGCGTGCGTGCGTGCGTGCGTGCGTGCGCGCGTGCGCGCGTGCGCGCGTGCGCGCGTGCGCGTGTGTGCGCGTGTGTGCGCGTGTGTGCGCGTGTGTGCGCGTGTGTGCGCGTGCGTGCGTGTGTGTGTGTCCAGTGTGAATCTCACTGTTGCTGGTATCTTGTTGCCAGGCAAACAATATTTTGGCAATAAACTATCGTATGTAGTGGAGATGGGACAGTGTGTAGAAGGTTAATGTGACAGCAATCGGTTCACGCTCTTCCAGTCCTGCTGATCCTGTCTTTCTGGAACATCTCGGCAAACTTTTGTACTTGCTGCTGCTGCTGTTTCATCTCTGCTGCTGCTGCTGTCAGGTGTGCTTGTTTGACCTTCGTGCCAGTCAACCCTACCTGGTTAAGGATCATCATCAAGACTTGCCAATCAAACAGGTCGACTTCTTTCCCAGGGAAGAATTTGTCCTTTCGTCGGACTCCAAGCACTTGAAGATCTGGAACGAGAACACGGTGAGCGCATTGTATTGGCCGCAAGGGAGAGTGCGCACACTGTGACATTGAAGTAATGTTGAGCACTGTACTGTTGGTATAAGAATGCTGGAAGATTGGTTGTTGTTGCCGCCACCCCTGCTGCTGATGCTGATGCTGATGCTCGTGGTCCGACATCTAAACCTCATTTCCACCTGAAAGGACAGTTGCTAGCAGCCATAGCCTCATAGGGCTTGAGAGTGTTTTTGCCAGAAGTCAACAAAAACTTTTAAGTTTTTAGTCATTATCATTAAAATGATAATGACTTCTGGGTCCGC